TCCCGTTGGAATGTCTGATATACAATAAGAATTACTGTAATATACAAAGCAATTGGTATCCGTTTTATAGCTGTAATAATAGCGCATTAAGTAAATACTTATGTTATAAGGATGGTATGAAAGTGAAAGGAAGAACAGATTAAATGTATTCATGCTGTATGTCGAATTTCTTCATTTTTCATTTATCAAATTCAGCTGTATACTATAAAATGTTGTAGTTTTCTTCCTTTTTGCTTTCAGAAGTAACCGATCTCCATTTGATCCTTTTACTTGGAATCTCTCCCCAGGAACGTACATATTTGTACTTTGCTTTTATTTTTGTGCTATTTCATTGTTTCAATATATATTTTTCATATATCAATACTTCCGATTGAATCAATAGAATACCCTGTTACCGTCCTGTTAAGATAATTGTCGATAGCAGACAAGCTTTGTAGTATAAGTCTGTAGAACAGGTCTGATATGTAAGATGTATTCTGTTATGTAGTGTACTTGGAATCACAGGAATTAGGCAACTTTTGAAGGGAATATATTCTAGTTTTATTAACATATCGGTCTACACAGCAGAGAGGTATCTTCACTGTCGCACCATAACGATTTTAGACACAAGTATCGCAAAAAAGGTTCCTTTTATGCTCCTTTTGTGTTCTTCCTCCTCTGTGCTCTGCCCCCTCGCTTTGTTTTCATCGTTCTTCACCCTTCTCAGTGTTTATCGCTCTCCTCCTTCTCCTTCTTCCTCCCCAAAGGCTCCCTGGTTGCCGTCCGCCGCCATCCCGTCGTGGTTCACGGGCACGGCGTTCGACTCCAGCACCCGGTAGCCGTCCTCGTCGGCCACGTACTGGACGTGGAACTCCTCGCCTTCGGGGGACGTCCAGCTGGAGGAGGATATGGAGATGGCGAAACGTTGGTTTGTTATCAGGTCTACTTCTTCATGTTTATCAAGATGATTTCACTAGATAATTGGAGTCAGTATCGTTGCCTACGAGACAAAGTATTATTCCTCCCAACATTATGATCAAAGCTTCATTCTTAGAATTCTAAAACGAGCATAAAATCTCATATTTAAAAGCCTCTCTCGAAAATGGCATCCTTCTGACCTGTAAGACCCTTCCACGTGCTCCCCGGCGTCTCCCTCCTGCTGGTGCTGGTGATCCTCGCCCTCGAAGTCCAGGACGTCTGGCCGAGCCGACGCCAGGACTGCCACGGCCAGGACTGCGAGCGCCACCTGGGAGAGGATGTTGTTGGTTTGCTGTGTTTATCTTTATATCAACACGTGGCGGATTTGATGTGGGATAGGAATGGCAATGGGGATGAATAGCATGATGATATATAGGCGGTAGTGACAAAATTGATGATAATACTGTAATAATTAATAATAATACTGTAATGATTAATGATAATACTGTAATAATTATAGTGACAATGATAATGGTTGAAGTAGAATTAATGATAATAATAATGAGGGATTAACATCAGTTAAGAAAGCTATCAACATTAACAATCAAAAAATATACAACAAAGCACCGACACGCACCACAAACTTCATCTTAAGCCCGATTCTTCTGAGCAAAACCGACAATGAGATCCCAACTGCAGACCTTTCCCGTGCGAGGCGAAAGACCGCTCTGACGGATCCCAGAAGCGCCGGTTCTTTTATAGGCGAAGCAAGTAAGTCTCCGCTCGACACACTACGATTGATTGACCTCCTCGTCCTTGCTTCGTTGACCAGGGAAGGTCAAGGGCAGACAACGAAAGAGAGAAAATACTGCTTATTTCAGGCATATATGGTCGACATTGCAAAGGAAGAATGAAAGGAACATTGTGCTATTGATTGTGTGGCAAGGTGCATATGCCTATTCACTGATTCCAAAGAGTAATAAGACTAGTGTTTGCTAATATGAATACTTTGTAAATGTATGTACATATAGGCCTATGTGTGTGTGTGTGAATATTCATTTACATATGTATATATATAATATATATGCACATACAGACATGTATATATATATATATATATATATATATATTATATATATATATATATATTATATATAATATATATATATATATATATATATATATATAAACACACACACACATATATACATATACACATAATATTTGTGTATATATATTATATATATATATATAATATATATATATATATATATATATATATATATATATGTATGTATATATATATATATATGTGTGTGTGTGTGTGTGTGTGTGTGTGTGTGTGTGTGTGTGTGTGTGTGTGTGTGTGTGTGTGTGTGTGTGCGCGTGTGTGTGTGTGTGTGTACATATATATATATATATATATATATATATTATATATATAATATATATAATATATATATATATATATATATATATATATATATATATACGTTATTGATTCGATATTTAAAAAAATCATTAGTTTTAAGTGTAAATATGTCTGGGTCACGTAGAACTGCTAGAGCCAACTGAAGCGTTTCATTACATATTACCATTTTGAAGGTATATCAGTATATCAAAATCTGGTGCCATAATTATTAGAGTAAAGTATAATGATTCTTAAGAAATGGTTGTTTTTTTATTGTTAACAGTTCAATGGGGGAAAATAATACGCAGTTTCGTCATCGCATTTTATCATCTAAATGCAACTACGTGAAGTGCTGGCATTGAAAATCTTTTTTACTCGGAAACTAAAGGTTGCGTTGCTCAATAACTGATTTAATATAGTTTTTGAATCCATATGTATTGAATTTATGGTAACCCTTACTCTCCTCCCGCACGCAGAGATTCGCCAGTCAATGAATGTATGTATTATTATTTTTTTCACATTATTATGTTTTTTGAGGTGTTGTTACAACGGAATTAGCCAAAGGAGACAATTCGGATTGTGCCAAGGAATGAATGAATTGAAGTGTAGGAAAATTGCGGAAGTTAGAGAGGAATGAATCGATAACTCATTCGTCCAAGTAGTAATAGAAAGCTACAGGAGAAATTTGAGATCCCTTCTTCACTTTATTCTTATTATATTCATTTTACTGATTATCTTTTTTATATAATTAGCAGGCAAAGGAAGCCTTTGACTTGAATTGATGTAATAATACTTGTTTTGCTTATAATTCATATTGATAATATTCAAGATTTACAATGCCACTTTATTATTATTTGTTTGTAAAATAAAAAGAAATTGGTCAAATATGTTAATGACTATTGTATTGCCAGCACACACTCAACAGAAATAAATTTGATCCACCCCACGAGCTCTAAGACCGTAGTCCTGCTACCCACATTAAAAATTAAGTATGTAAAAATAGAGTTTACTCGGGGTTTCATTCAAATTTGAAACCCTGGTTGTGGTTGGCATTACCAAAGTCACATTGGCATTTGCATTAGAATTAATCTAGATAAACTGGCGACATAATTTTATTAAGAATATATTTTATTAGGTATATGGAAAATTTGTCATGCATCATATATATGCATATATATGTATATATAAGAATGTAAGTACATATATATATATATATATATATATATATATATATATATATATATATATATATATATATATATATATATATATATATACATTTGTGTATGGGCGTGAGTGTCTGTGTTTGTGTGTATCCACCAGATTAATGTTTGTAATTATGCTTTCCCTTTGGAAAATACATTGCCATATTTTGCAAGACATGTCATTCTACATTTTTAAATAGATAATCATAAAACGAACCATTGGTATAAAGCAGTTTCTAATGTTAAAAATTACCGCTCCCTCTTTCTCCTCACACAAACCATTCAAAACTATTAGACTGACTCAGGTATATCAATTGCAAATTTATAACTTCACGAATGCGTTACGATATACAGTAAGTTTTAGATCAGCAGTAATTACACCTAGAAATTAGATAGCGTAGTGAATTAACAACGAATTGTACTTCTGTGTTGGTACGTCACCATACCAACACAGCAGTGTGATTTGTCGTTCATAAAACAGACATATTCAACAGATCATTAGAACAGCCATGATAGACTTGGTGTGGCTTTCTCACTGACAGAAATAGAATGGCGATGTCTTTCTTTTAAGTTATTTAGGTGCATTTTCATTATTATGAAAATTATTTATTTATCTACGTCTATAAGAATACGATTACTTTAGATAAAATCGCCCCTGGAAAATCATGACATATTCATGTGAATCCTATCTTGGAAGTATGGAAATGCACCTCAGTTTAGTTTAAATAACGCGTGATATAAATACATCGAAAGGTACCTTGAAAATAACGTTGAAAACAAGATTTCTTATAAGCTAAACCCTAACCCTAAAAAAGTACATTGTTTCTCTCTTTCCTTCTTTTTCTCTCCCTCCTTTGCCCTTATCTACCCACGTCGACGAGGCAAGGACGAAGAGGTCAGTCAATCGCAGTGTGTCGAGCGGAGACTTACTTGCTTCGCCTATAAAAGAACCGGCGCTTGTGGGATCCGTCAGAGCGGTCTTTTGCCTCGTACGGAAAGGCATACTGTTGGATCTCATTGGTATTGCTTAAAAGAATTGGCCTCATGATGAAGTTTGTGGTGTGTGCCGTTATTTTGTGTTCATCGTGATCATCATCGTTATTATTATCATTAGTATTATTGTCATTACCAATATAATCATCATCATAATTATCTTCATCATCAACAACAAGAGCATTAAGATCCGAATCATTATTCCCATTATCATTATTAATTCATCTGTATTCGATAGTTTACTATGATTATAATCAATATTATGTCTGTAATCTATACATTATTATGACATGAAGCGTACTAACCAACATCCTCTCCCAGGTGGCGCTCGCAGTCCTGGCCGTGGCAGTCCTGGCGTCGGCTCGGCCAGACGTCCTGGACTTCGAGGGTGAGGATCACCAGCACCAGCAGGAGGGAGACGCCGGAGAGCACGTGGAAGGGTCTTACAGGTCAGAAGGATGCCATTTTCGAGAGAGGCTTTTAAATATGAGAGATTTTATACTCGTTTTACAGTTCTAAGAATGTAGTTTTGATCATAATGTTCGGAGAAAAAATATTTCAAGCTCCTCGTAGGTAACGATATTGACCAATTATCTAGTGAAATCATCTTGATTAAAATGAAGAAGTAGATGTAGAAAGGTATGAATGAGAATGAATATCTTCTCAATACAAGAGATGTATTTAACCGGCTTCGAATAGATCTTCGTCAGAAATATTGTGTATTGTGAAGATATTCGTTCTCATGCATACCTTTCTACATTTGTCAGCATGAATATGGTTTATGGAGACGTAGACCTGATAACAAACCAACGTTTCCCCATCTCCATATCCTCCTACAGCTGGACGTCCCCCGAAGGCGAGGAGTTCCACGTCCAGTACGTGGCCGACGAGGACGGCTACCGGGTGCTGGAGTCGAACGCCGTGCCCGTGAACCACGACGGGATGGCGGCGGACGGCAACCAGGGAGCCTTTGGCGAGGAAGAAGGAGAAGGAGGAGAACGATAAACACCGAAAAGGGAGAAGGGCGAAAAAAAATGCAGAGAAAGGGGGAAAACGGAGAGAGAAAAAGGAAAAATATATGGAATTCTTTTCGTGATACTTGTGTATTTAAATGCATCATAATTCGCCAGTGAAGAGATACGTTACTGCTATGTAAACCACTGTGTCAATAAAACACCTTTCATACATTTTGTTTATTTAACTGATCCATGTAAAAAGAATGGGAAAACATAGGTAGCAGGAGAGGTAAGCTTTAAAAGTTGTCCATTCTTCTATGATTCAAAGTACAGTATATATCAAACTATATCTTGCAATATAATAATTTACGAGCAGTGTTATTAATCAACGAGGATTATGCAAGGGAGGACAAGACAAAGGTCCTTTCTTTCACTCGATCAATAGTAAATAAACAATTAGATAATAAGACAAAATGAAGAATAAAAAATAGAATGCATCAACTAAAAATTGGAAGGTGTGAGCAACCGGAACCAAAAGTCATTTCTAAGAAGACAAATAATAATAAAAATGAAAATAATGATAATGATTATGATGGTACTGATAATTATGATAATAATAGTAGTAGTAATAATAATAATGATGATAATAATGGTAATAATAATAATAATAATAATAATAATAATTGATAAATAATGATAATAATAATAATAATAATTGATAAATAATGATAATAATAATAATAATAATTGATAAATAATTATAATAATGATAATAATAACAATAATAATAATAATAATGATAACGATAATAACAATAAATGAATAGATAATGATAGCAACAAAGCATATCAGTCATCTGTTATGAATGTTTATCATCCCTTAAAGAAGAGAGAAGAGAGAAAAATAAGCATGGGCGGGGATAAGGAAAAAGAAAATAGGCTTGTGCTTGTATCACTATATCAATAAAATATCAAAATGTCATAATAGGAGAAGGAGGGGAGGGGGAGGAGGAGGAGGAGGAAGAGAAGATGGAGGAAACAAATGAAAAAGAAATAGGCTTTGATCCTTGTCCACTTCACTTTAACTCCAATCTTACTATTGATATGATTTGTGTCAATTTCACTGTAATTCCTAATGCATAATGTATATCTATTATTTCCTACTTCATCGTAGTCCTAGTTACGTACCAAACATTTAACAGCATTGTTCTGAAGGTGAAAATCCTAAACTTATATCGGAATGAAAAAAATAATGATAAATAAATAAATAAATAATCCAGGCTTTTTGTATAAAGTGTGTATTGAATCAAACCTAAATAATTATGTGCGTTTTACATATTTACTTAGTTAGCATCCTTAAAATCATTCATTTTTGCATTTAATTTCCAGTGAAATTAAATTCTTTTTCGCTGCAGCATTTTTTACAACTCAACTTCTCATGTAAATCCTTTCAAATAAAAATGATAATACTTACTTAGTGATTTCAATTACGTAAAGCCTTTTTCTAATGACAGAATATCACTGGTATTTTGCCGTTAACTTTAGTGTATGTTTAACTTTATAGTCAGTGCTGTTCCACGTCATCCTATAAGCGCCACCTATCTGATCCGAAGACCAAATTGTTATATTCGTTCAACAGAAATGCTTCGGAAATACGTGATTTAAGCTTGAAATAAAGTCAACATGCAATCAATTTTATTCTAGGCTAGATTATGCATAATTCTTTCTTTTTACTTGATGGGATTGCGATTTTCTTCTTCTAATATTAATTATGGTAACTATGGAAAATGATCAGTTATTACATGAAAGCATTAATCTATTAATCTATCAGTTTGTTTCTGTCGATCTATCTGTCTATTTATTTGTGTCGATCTACCAATGTATATATCTATCTGTCTAATTAAGTATCTATCTACCCACATAGCAATCTATAGATATATCCATCTATCTACGTATCTTTATCTAAGTATATCTATCTATCCGTCTATCTATATGTTTTATCTATCTATCTATCTACATATCTACACACACACACACACACACACACACACACACACACACACACACACACACACACACACACTATATATATATATATATATATATATATAATATATATATATATATATATATATATATGTATTTATGTATATATGTATATATAAACATTTCGTTTTATAGATTTTACCACACACACATACGAACACACATTTATGTAATCGTGCCATTAACATAGAGAGAGAGAGAGATAGATAGAGAGAAGAGAGAGAGAGAGAGAGAGAGAGAGAGAGAGACAGCGAGAGAGAGAGAGAGAGAGAGAGAGAGAGGAGAAGAGAGAGAGGAACATTGTTAGAGAAATTAACATTCAGAATGTTTATATAAAATGCTGGAAATTATGGTTTTACAAGATGGAAAAATAGAAATACGAAGAAAATGTGCAGAAGTGTGGGTACAAAAGGTATTATAATCATATTGACATTTCTCTAATTCGGATATAGTTCCATACTCTTTATAACATTTGTCCAGATCTAACCTTTTTCCCACTTATTGCGAACAATATTAGGGTCCTGCAGTTTAATGCAAATAAAAATCAGTTTGAGCACACATGTGATAGGTTGGTGTAAAGTTTGACTCACTGCATTATTATGCAGTGAGTTCAACTTTGAATTATACATAATTTTCTTTCTTTTTTATTTATATGATCAATTTATATTGGTTAAAGGGCCTTTGGTTTATAGGTAGACAGTAATGAGATGATGTTTATATATTCCCACATCTAAAAATACTGAAAGACACACACACACACACACTCATAAATATACACATTCACATACGCACGCGTAAGCACTGTGTGTTGTACGCGAAAGACGAGACAAAAAGACAATGGAAGCAAAAAAGAACTTCACATAACAAAGAAAACCAAGAAAAACGAATGCAAAAAAGCACCATTTGGAAGGACGTTCCACGCGACCCGACCCGACCGCACCTTGGACACGGTAAAGCACTCTCCATTTCGCCCCCTGGTTTTACGACCTTCCTCCCGTGGGTTATTTGTCCTAATTCAACAACGCCATTTCTTTGCCCCCCCCCCCCCCCGCCCCACAGCCTGACCTTCCCCTGGCCAACGAGCCGAAGACAGAGGAGGTTAGTGTATCGCTGTGGCTTGGGCAGAGACCCCTTCATGGTTGGTATAAGAGACCTGCTACGAGGGAGGTTTATCAGTGCATTGCTTCATCTGACACAGGGAGGACCTCGGGAAACTACCTCACGATGAGATCTATGGTTTGTGCTTTTATTTGGTTATTCATATCACTAAAATTTAACATTGTTATTCTTCACTTTCCTGGAAATCCATGAAACATATTTGAATAACTTCGAAACATTACTATTTATGCGAGAAACGGTATATGTGACCAATGTATGTGTTCCTTGTAGACACTATTTGTACTCCTGGTCGCGGCCGTCCTGGTGACAGCTCGGCCAGAAATCCTGGACTTCGAGGGCGAGGATCACCAGCACCAGCAGGAGGGAGACGCCGGGGAGCACGTGGAAGGATCCTACAGGTCAGCGTGACTTCAGATAGGATGTTGTGAAGAGGAAATTCTATTTTCATCTTATTTTCAGCTTTGATATACGTACTGAAATGGGTGTATGGACTGTAAATGTAGCATATCAATTTAATTAATTAGAAGGTAGATATGAATTACATAGAATGGCATATCTAACAACAATCCGGCATTTAATCATGGATAAATCTATTGTGATAACAAGGCACAGATCTAATCCAACGTTTCACCATCTCCTATCCTCCTACAGCTGGACGTCCCCCGAAGGCGAGGAGTTCCACGTCCAGTACGTGGCCGACGAGGACGGCTACCGGGTGCTGGAGTCGAACGCCGTGCCCGTGAACCACGACGGGATGGCGGCGGACGGCAACCAGGGAGCCTTTGGGGAGGAAGAAGGAGATGGAGGAGAACGATAAACATCGAGAAGGATGAAGAACGATGAAAACAAAGAGAGGGGGCAGAAAACAGAGGAGGAAGAACACAAACGGAGAATAAAAGGAACCTTTTTTGTGATACTTGTGTCTAAAATCCTTATGGTGCGACAGTGAAGATACCTCTCTGCTGTGTAGACCGATATGTTAATAAAACTCTAGAATATATTCCCTTCAAAAGTTGCCTAATTCCCGTGATTCCACGTGCACTACATAACAGAATACCACGACGGGATAGCGTCGGACGGCAACCAGGGAGCCTTTGGGGAGGAAGGAGAAGGAGGAGAACGATAAACACCGAGAAGGGTAAAGAACGATGAAAAGAAGACAGAAAACGGAGGAGAAAGAACAATAAAGGAGAATAAAAGGAACCCTTTTTGTATGATAATTTTATCTAAAATCTTTATGGTGAGACATTGGAGAGTCCAATAATATATTCTCCTCAAAAGCTGTCTAATTCCTGTGATTCCAAGTGCCCTGCATAACAGAATACATCTTACATATCAGTCCTGCTCTACAGACATACTGCAAAGCTTGATTGCTATCGACAATTATCTTAACAGGACAGTAACAGGGTATTCTATTGATTAAATCGGAAGTAATGATATATGAAAAATAAATATTGAAACAATGAAATACCACAAAAATAGAAGCAAAGTACAAATATATATGTTCCTGAGAAGAAAAAGTCCAAGTAGAAGGATCAAATGGAGAAAACTACTACAATCTGCAGTATACAGCTGTATTTGATAAATGAAAAATAAAGAAATTCGACCTACAGCAGGGATACGCACTTAATCTGTTCTTTCCTTTCACTTTAATACCATCCTTATAACACACAATAATTGCTTAATGTGCTATTAGTACAACTATAAAACGGATACCAATTGCTATGTATATTACAGTAAATCTTTTTGTATATCAGACATTCCAACGGGACTGTTCTGGAGGTGTGAATTCCGAGCTGCATGTCTGATATTACACTTGAATCGAGATTGGCAAAAAAAATCGGCATCTCTTTAGAAAAAAAATCGGCATCTCTTTAGACACTGGTCACCAAAGTTTACGTAAAGGCCGTATCAACACAAGTACCTTTTTTCTTAATTCTTTACGTCTCCGGGTGAATTTAAGTCTTTGTGCATGGGTCGCATGCATGTCGAACGCCTCCCAGACGAAGACGAAAAGCGACCATTTCCGTCCTGAACTTGTGATATGAATGGCTTATACTATAGAAAAAAAAAAATCCCGATAAATGAGGTAAAAGTTAACCTAAATATGAGCTAATATTCGAAAATGTTTCTATATACAGTATAGTAGTCTCCTTTACATAACTATGTTACGCTAAAATAATGCGATATGTCTGAGATTCTATGTGATTCCCGGGACCTCACTCAGATGGCGCCATGTTTGCTCACACGGGGTCTGTGTTTGCTAACCTGGTAGTAGTGTTACTCTCCCTGTGTGACAGGCTGAGACCATTTGCATGCGGACGTTCATACCGATATGCAAAAAATGACGGAAAACGTAACGTGATAGGGCCTTAGAAAATTAGTAACACACAAAAGGTTACTATAGTTTTTTTTCTTTCTCTTCTCTATATCTATCTATCTATCTATCTATCTATCTATCTATCTACCTATCTCTCTCTCTCTCTCTCTCTCTCCTCTCTCTCTCTCTCTCTCATCTCTCTCTCTCTCTTCTCTCTCTCTCGTCTCTCTCTCTCTCTCTCTCCCTCTCTCTGGAAAAACTGGTGTTTTACGCGGTTTGCTTATTCAGTATTTCGATGCTTATTCTTTAAAGCCTTCGTTATATTTTCGGGTTGCATTTAGTCTATTTCTCTTTAATTTCATTTGCAGTTCGTTTACCTATGTAACCTATGAAATTTTTAGATGAAAAACCTGATGAAAAATACAGCTTTTTTTTCTAGACAAATATAATGCATATCACTGTTTATATAATTTTTAATCAATCGCTGCCTACAAACCTTAACCAAAATTTGATACTTGAAGCCTGAAACCTAGTAAAGCCTGTTGCAGATGCATTTTTCAGCGTAAGTGCATTAAATCTCAGACTTTAAAAATACATGTTTATTTTTTTCCTTTAAAAAAATAGCATCGCCGTCAATTCGCCGTACAAAAAACCACAATGCACAAACTAGATTTATATCAATAAATCTACTTTGTAAATTGTGTTTTTTCAATCATTTCTCTCTCACTCACTCTCTCTCTCTCTCTCTCTCTCTCTCTCTCTCTCTCTATATTATATATATATATATATATATATATATATATATATATATATATATATATATATATATATGTATATATATACACACACATTTATATGTATGTGTGTGTTGTGGAGTAGGGCTAAGAGTGACCTTTGTTGGTTCCACCATGGTACCGTGTCCTACTATATAACTATTAACACATAGTCACACAAAGCGTGTGTGTGTGTGCGTGAAAGACGGAAAAAAATACAATGATACAAAAAAGTACTCTAATAACGACAAAAACAAACGTATATAAAGAGTACGAACTTCACGGACGTTCCACCTGACCTGACCCCACCGAACCGAGCCACGCTGAAGTTTTCCCCTCATATATAACACGGCCTTCTTGTCATACCTCTAGAGTCCCGAATAAACAACGGTATCCTTCTTTCTTTTGTTTTTCGTCTTCTCTTCTCCCGCACTCTGACCTTCACTTGGCCAACGATCCGAAGATGAAGGAAGTTAGCCTATGTCTGTGTCTCTGGTGTGGTTCTTCGCTCGGTATAAAAGACCTGCTATGAGGGAGGTGTTTATCAGTGCATTGCTTCGGCTGACACGGGAAGGACCTCGGGAAATTGCCTTACGATGAAAGCTATGGTTTGTATCCTTCTAGAAGCTATTGACATTTTAACATTGCTATTTTTCATTTCAAATAATTTAGACAACGAAACACCATTACCAATTATGCGAGGAATGGTAATCATTCCTCGTATACCAAGTATACGAGGAATTGTAAAGGTAACCAATGTATGTTTCCTTGTAGACATTAT